GTACACGTTCTTGTGACCTGAGCTCGCCAGCTTGCCCAGGCCGCTGCGGCACGTCGTGCGTAGCGCTCGGGCGACGTCAGCCTCGCGCCACGAGCCGTGGGCAGCCGCCATGGCGATCGCCTCCTTCTCCAGCTCGAGATGGCACCCTTCCAGCATGCTGATGCCTCTGGCGATGCCCGGGAGCATGATACCCTCGCGCTCGGCCTCAGTGACAATTTCCTTGGCACGGGCGGTTGTAGGTGCTAGCCCCCTCGTTCTTCTGCGTCCGCAGTCGTAGGCACGCCCTCATCACTTCGCCGAGCTTGCCCGAGGCTGGAGCCTCGGGATACCTGTCATCCAGGATGGCGAAGATCACGTCTTCTCCGTCAGGCTGTTCAATCTGATCGTCCTCGACGCCCTGGATGGCCTTGAACGCTGCGCCGGCCAGGAGAGTCACCAGGGCTGATCCTCGAGCGTCATCATCGATCTTCTTGGACTTGATCCATGCCCTGGCCCACTTCCGCCAGACCTTGTGCTCTTCTGGCTTCTCGCCCGAGAAGCGTCTGACCGCACCGTTCTGAGTCTCTGAGTCGGCCATGGCCGCGATGAGACAGCAGCGATCCGAGCTTGAAGCCGGCAGCGTTCACGACGCCGCTGATGTTGTGAAAGGCGAGTTGTGCAGCCTGCACAGCAAGAAGACGATGCCCCCTCTTTGCTGCCACTGCGGAGCCACGGAAGAAACTGATGTGATGTGACTCGTTCTTTACTTGGCACAACCGCTGCACCTGAGAGCACATAGGCTGCGTCCACGCACATAGAGTCTGCACGAATACAAGCACAGTGAATCAGATCTCTGGATCGTCACCGGGGACCGTCAGAAAACGGCTCAGGATGAAGAACTCGTCCTGGGGGAAGGCCCCAGTGTCCAGTACCCGTGTCCCTCAGGACCCGTTTCCCCCATGCTAGCATCGTCTCGGCGTCACCCCAACATGTTTGTACTATATGTGCGTCGCCCCCTCAGGGGCGACGCGCGCACCGAGACATCTTATAGTATATGCGTCGTGGCGGGCGCTTTCCAGCCACACCGCTCGGGAAACGATCTACTACACATGGGTATATTGCATGTCCGGGTCGGACGCGAGCGTTCGAGGAGGACATTCAGTACTCGTATGCCCTTGTGCGTCCCCATCTATCCCTCCCCTCCCTTATTTCGGATGCAACTCCTGGGAGGTCAAATTCTGTTTTCGCCCTGGTCCGAAATCCGGCTCAACCCCGCTTAATCCCGCTCAATCCGGCTTAATCCCGCTTGATCACGCTTAATCCCGCTTAATCTTGTTTAGTCCGAGGCCCACTCCGGCGTAACAGCTCCCAAATGGGGCTTAATCCTCCTGAATTTTTCCGACGAAAACCTCCCAGTAGTTGTTTCCTAACCTCATCCCCCCCCTTCCATTCCCCGTCCTCGCCTCTCGCCCCTCTGATCGGCCAGCAGCCGCCGCCGCGGCCAGTGCGGGGGGCCTACGGCGGACGCGCGGGGACTGACGACGGCCCCCCTCCATCTGCTACTGCTCCTCCTCCTCCTCCTCCTCCTCCCCCTCCTCCTCCTCCTCCTCCCCCTCCTCCTCCTCCTCCTCCTCCTCCTCCTCCTCCTCCTCCTCCTCCTCCCCCTCCTCCTCCTCCTCCTCCTCCTCTCCCTTCTCCTCCGCCGCGTCCTTCTCCCCCTGCTTCCTCCCCCTCCTCCTCGCATCCTGTCCGTAGCTATTTGGGCTCAAGCCTACCCCCCGCTTTCCGCACCCTTTGTCGCCGACGGGCCGTACCTCGGCGACGGCGGCTGCTGCGGCAGCAGGCACGGTTTGAGGATGGCGACGGGAGTGGCGGTCCTGTGCGGAGCGGCGGGCGCGCGCGCGCGTCGGCAGACCGCCTCGTGTCTCGGCTCAGCCGCGAGCTGGCTGAGCCGAAGCTGCGGTACGAGGCCCTGGGGGCGATGCCGGAGGCGCGCGCGAGCCCTGGCTCGGCGGTGGTGCGCGCATGCTCGGCGGCGGCGCGCCCTTGACGCAGCATGCTCGGCGGCGGCGCGCCCTTGAGGCAGCATGCTCGGCGGTGGCGCGCCCTTGAGGCAGCATGCTCGGCGGTGGCGCGGGGGCGATGCTGGAGGCCCCGGAGGCAGCTGGAGGCGCGCGCGCGCAGACGTGGGGCGTCGCGAGGCGAGTGCTCGTCCTGCCCTGCCCGCCTCGCTCCAGGGCTGCCGCGTGCCTCACGGGCGCCCGCCTGCGCAGAGGTGTGGCGCGGCACTCGCGGGAGGATCCGCCCGCCGCGGCGCCGCTGGGCGCATTGGCGGCGGGCGCGGAGGCCGGGAGCGGCTCGGCTCGGAGGTCGCTCGGCCGCCCCCTGAGAGCGTGCGCCCCGCCTTGCTGCCCAGGTGCGGGCCGCCGGGAGGCCCTGCCGCCCCGCAGGCGGCGCGCGGCGGGCGCTGCACCGGCGGCGCGGCGCTCTGCGGGGCCGTCTGCGGCGCGCTGCACAGCCCGTGCTGTGCGCCTGTGGCCCCCCCCCCTCCTCTCCACGGAGGCGGTCAAGATGGTGCCCTCGCCGACCCTGCTGCCGCGCCAGGTGCCGTGGTTCGTCGTGGTGGTCGCGTGCGTGTCGACGAAGCTCGCGAAGCTGGTGATCATGCTCGGGCGGGCAGCGGGGAGCTTCCAGAGCTTGCCCAGGCCGCCGCCCATCCCGAGGATGTGGCTGGTTCTCCACATCCTGATGGGCGTCGTGATGCGGCTCGAGGCGCTGGTCAAGATGACTGCGATGGCGTCCATCTTTCATCGTGGTGTGGGAAGCGGCGCTCGTGCACACGGCGCCCCTGGTCCAGGAAATCTCGCCCTGGGTTCGGTCGAGGGCTGGGGGGGGGCGTCAAGCCATTGTTGGCACTTGGCTTAAGTCGGGCATGTCCCTCTACAGGAGGAGTTTTCAAAAATAGTCTGGAGACGATTCGTTTTGATCATATTTGACTATGCTTGGGCATTTTTGGCGTATTTTTCATTTGTCGTGCAGAATCCGCCTGTAAGAGGACACGCCCGACCTGATGCTGGCGTCGACCGTGGAGCCGCTGTACCGCGTCGTGACTCCGACTCCCGCGTGGTGCCCGTGGTGCTTTTGTTGTTTCCCGAGCTGCGGCTCTCGGGACGCCGCTAGCCTTGTCGAGGGTGTGCAGTTCTTGTTCCCTGCAGGTAGCTCGCGGGACGCAGACTGGGACATCGAGACCGGCAGCAGTGCTCGTTTCGGCGGTGGTCCTCAAGGTCGAGGCAAACGCGCACCTAGCTGAACTCGGCTTCCTTCACTGCCTCCTGGGCACGGCCAGGGGGTGCAGGGCTGGTCAGGTCCAGCCCTGGCCACCGCAGACCAACCTGTTATCCCTCTGTCGCTGATGTTGCAAAACTTCTCATCATCCTTCTGCTCATCCTCATCCTTCCCGCTCATCATCGTCACCATCATGAACACCATCAGCATCACCATCATAATCCTCCCTGCGCGCCTCTGCTTATCCTCCTGCTCCTCTTCGCCTCCTACCCCCCGTTTCCTCCTATTCCCCCTTCCCTCATCCTCGCCGACAGCCTTCTTCTTACAGTCTGGTCATGTGACAGATTCCCCCTCTTCTCCACAGGCATTTGGAAAGGGAGAAAGAGAGAGAGAGAGAGAGACAGGGAGGGAGAGGAACCATACTTGAGATGGGATTAATCACTATACGATGACACTTACCACTCATAAGATTAACGAGAAGCAAAAGGAGCATTCAATACATCGACAGAGGTATAATGAGAGACAGGGCGAGCGAGAGAGAGAGAGAGAGAGATAGAGAGACAAACAGAGACAGACAGACAGACAGACTGACAGACAGACTGAAAGGCAGACTGACAGACTCACAGACTCACAGTCTGACAGCGACAGACAGACAGACAGACAGACAGACAGACAGACAGACGGACCGACAGACAGACAGACAGACACACAGGCACACAGACAGACAGAAACTCACAGAGACAGTCATAGCGAGAGAGAGAGTCACCACCTACCAGACCACCCCAACCCAACCCGAAGGCCTCAATTTGCCCTCCATTTCCAGTGGGGGGGGGTCGGGGAACGTTGAAAAAACACATGGAACCCGTACCCCCCCCCCACCCGAAATTCGGTCCAAATTCGGGTCTTCGGGTTGGGTTGGGGTGGTCTGGTAGGCAGTCAGAAAAAGAGAGAGAGGATAGTGGATCGAGCGAGGATCGAAGACCCAAGCTCTGTGGCGTGCCTCGCCCCCTGCAGGCTCCGCTCGACAACAGGCGACCCCCTTTGCACTCGGCCGCGCTAGCCAGGTAGGTTCAGCATTCGACACCCGACCGCCTTCGCCGCGGCTCTCCCCTCCTCCTCCTCCTCCTCCTCCTCCTCCTCCTCCTCCTCCTCCTCCTCCTCTCCTCCTCCTCCTCCTCCTCCTCCTCCTCCTGCTCCTCTCCCTCCCTCCCTCCCTCCCTCCTACTTCTCCTCCTCCTCCCTCCCTCCTCCTCCCTCCTCCTCCTCCTCCTCCTCCTCCTCCTCCTCCTCCTCCTCCTGCTTCTCCTCTTGGGCACGAGGGGACCCTGACAGCCGGCAGGACGATCGGTTCAACCGGCAGCCCCAGGAGGTCCCCGGCGCTCCCCTCCCCCCCAGGGGGGCAGCTTTTCGTCCCGGATCCGTTCTTGATGGCTCGGGGGCGAGCCCGAGATCGAGGACTACTGTCGGAGACCTTGGGAGGAGGAGGAGCTGTTGGAGAACGAGACGTGGGGGAGCTGACCAGGTGAAGTCAAGTCCGGTCGAGGAGCCTCAGACGCACCTCGCTCCGCAAGAGGAGACGGAGGGCATGAGACCGTACGGCAACAAAACGAGCATGAATGAGAGAAATGGCGGATAGGGCAACACTGCAACACCTATAACGTACATCATGTATTTCGCATGACATTTTCCAACACCGTTGTTGGCCTGGGCTCGGGACGAAAGTGGGGCGCAGCCAGGACTCCGTCATCGGCCTGTGGGACGAGGCGAGGGACCGCAGCACGGCCACGGGTTTCCTGTTCGCCGGGTTCGACGAGAACAAGTTCAAAGAGCGGTTGTGGCAGGTTGTCACCCTCCACCCACACCCTATGCAGGCAGGAGGAACAGGAGTGGCTTAGGGGTGGGAGGAGGGTTCGGACAATGTTCAGGGGGCGACGTGGAACGTGGAAGACGAGTCATGAGAGTGAGATGGGCGGGGAGGAAGAGGCGAACATTGGCTTCGTCCCCGTCTCTCTGCTCAATGTTCCGGGGTGGATGTTCTGGGGTGGACGTTATGCGATGTGCGTCTGCATATTTATACCGCGGCCCATTCGACGGGAGCAGTTGCATGCTCTGGACCATGTGTAGCATGCATAATATTTTTACGGCGTTATCGGCTGGCCCTGTTTGGCCGCTTATGTGATGTTTGATGCCATTCAGGCATATATGTGTTCAAGCTATGCTCAACTGTATGTAAAACGAGAATGGGGCGTGCTATGTTGTCTTGTGCTGATGTTGTGCATGTAGGTTCCTGGTCCTAGAGCCCCCTCTGAAACAGCATAGATATCCCACCTCTCATAATCTGCCCCCTGCCCCGACGTGGCAGGCGTTGGAGGTGTATCACAAGAAGAAGGACCCCAGTTCGCCGCCGTGCCACCGCTGCACACCCCATGGCGAACGTCTGCGTGGTGCATGGGAGGGAGAGGAGGAGGTGGAGGAGTAGGAGGAGGAGGATGAGGAGGAGGAGGAGGAGGATCAATGTTGGAGGATGAGAAGCGGGAGGAACAGCAGGAGTAGCAGCAGGAAGTGAGGGATCGAAAGGGATAAGGGGAGGAGAGGAGGAGGAGAGCGAGCATGTAATGTTGGAGAGTGGGTAGTAGAGGGAGGAGGCTGAGCATTATCAGCAGTAGAGAGAGAAGGCCAGGGAGGAGGTGGAGTAGGAATGGGAGGCGAGATAGTTTGAGGGGGATCAGGCAGAGGGGATGAGAAGGAGGAGGCGGACAAGTATCATGGAATGAGATGGAAGGGATAGTTGTCTCGAGGACGGTGAACATAATGCAGACTATTGTGAAGAGTCTAGGTGCTCATCTTCATATGTGACCCGGTCGCTGTCGGGATTGGCAGGCTTTCTTGCTACCCCCCGCCTTGACTTGCCCACCCAGCCGAGGTCAGACTCGAGAGGGTCGCAATAGTACACCGCAGCCTGCGGCTGCTCGGCCGCCTGGTTTGGAGGGACAGTTTCGTTTCGTTGGACTCCCTCACGTCCTGCCTTCGGTGACTCCCTCCCGCACGAGCTCCATCGTGTGACTCCCTCCCGCACGATCTCCATGTTTTTGTTAATCACAAGTTGACTTTACTGTTGTCGTCCCAGTTTGGTCCCAGTGCGAAGCAAGTGCTCCTCAGAGGCCCGCGCGCGCGCAAGGGGCATCCGCCACTATGCCGAGCTTTTGCCACCGAGGTGCAAACGAGCTCGTGCCAGCCTATAGATGGGCGGCATGTTTGAATTCCACTGTTGGCGAAATTGGGCGACATGGACGCGCCCTGTCTAAGGTGATACCCGACGGTTGACAGTGGGTGGCCCGAGGTCAAGCGGGTCGGTAGTGGCCATCATTGGATTGAACATGGATGCAAGGTTATTGCCCTCAAATTGGGCCCCGGTCGATGTCCGATGATCAAAGCGCAGTCGACGCAGCCAGCGTGCACGCGCCATGCACCCCAGCATATTCAGTTGCGCATGTGGCATCGTTGCCGACACGTATTCGAAACACTGCCCAGGATTTGACGAAGCAGATGCAGTTGAACGCCATGAACTGCAACTATTATTGGCCGAAGGTGCGTCTTCGCCATGTTGCACGTGGGGTATGGTTGGATTTGTTGGTGTGGGTCGACACCAGTGTTGCGTCCCGACTGTGCTAGGACAGTTGTGTGTTATGCCGCGCCAGAGTGGTGAAGCGACATGCATCAGTTTGGCAGAGTCGCACAGCAAATAAGCGCATGCAGTAGCGAACACAGGGACACCCGATCGAAGGCGCATCACGCTCGCCAGTCCAGCTTGTCCACAACGTCGTTGCTGGTTCGGGACCAAGCGATTATGCAGATGCTGACCGTGCAGTGGCGGTACATCGCTCTGAAGGCTTTCCGTCAGGGCGTTGCAGCGCAGAGCTGTCCATGTGCGCAAGTCCGCCATTCACTAAATGAGGGGGAGGGGGAGGCGACAAGCTTGCCCACTGTTCGATCGGTTCAATCGATGTTGGAGTCCACGTGGGGCACCGATCGATGTGTATGTGTATGTATTTGTATATCTACATATATATATGTGTGTAAGTCTCGCAACCGATGGAGATCCCCCACATGTTCGTGCAGGTTCCAGCCGGCTGGTTCGAGGTGTGCAAGTGTTCCGTCCGAGCTGTCGATCGGGAACAGTTTCTGGACGGACGTTGGCCATAGAAAGCCTGTCCTGAGAGAAACGGGTTCTCAGGT